TTTTGAAAGGTAAAGGTACAGCAGAATTCTTTGTAAAACAGTGATTGACATCTAAAATTTAGTAACTATCAACTTGGCAATAGAAGAGTTAAGGACTTAAGTGCCAACGATGTTAGGTAAATTTATGTGACAATATTTGTCACGAAATTTTTTGAATCCTGGTTTGACATTGATATTTTGCATACCATCCGATTAGGTTGCAGAAGATACAGAACAAAATTCTCTTTTACTAATTTTTAATATTAATCTATCGAATGTAATCCATTTAGTAATCGAATGCTTTAGTTTCAAAATTTTCTTCATAGTTAGTAATAAGAAAAAATAGGATTTTTAATATTTTTCAGTTAAAGTTTCAAAGAGTATAAATAATGAAATAATGAAAATACTATTTAAAAAAGATTTTTTTGTCAATTTTTTTATTCAATTATTATTAGTTTGATTCAAAAAAGCATGAGATCCCCGTTGTTATTCAATTATATAAACAACCAACTCTTGGATATTACTAAATGAAGTATTAGAAAAGCGAAAATAAAGGGAAAATTCGGAATCTTTAGTTGCAAACAAGAAATAATCAGGAAATAGATTTATTCGCAGAAAAATTAGGAAAATTTGATTTCTAGTGATTTGAAAAGCACGGTAATATGACAAATTTCACATAATTTACCTCAATAAAAGTTAACAGATATTTACTGTTGTATATTAACTTTATGGGTAGCATAATTTAAAATTTAAACTTAACCGAATTTAGTTGTAGGGGCAAATCTATGCTCAAATAAATATTCAATTATTTGCCATGTTGTGACTACGACAGTTACAGCATAAATATTAATAATGTTTCCGAATTTACTAATTCCAAAATTACTATTTGAAGTGTTATTACTACAATAAATACTCCAAAAACAGCAATGCGAACTTTCGTTGGGATTGAGTTACAATTCTTTATTGCCATAACAGGATAATATTATTTACCAAGAAGTACAACAGCACTATCTGCACATGGCAAGCTTGGACAAAGGAGATAAAATCTGATTCCTTTGTAAAGTTGTTTGGTGTGAATTTTTCTTTAGACTCCCATACATACATTACAAATCCAGAGGTAGAATCAGGGGATGGCTTACAATATGGCTTATAGTCAATTCGCTTAATTGGAATGTTGAGAGCAGACCCATATTTATCGTCAAGAGGTGCAGAGTCGTTC